CGAAGCGGCTAGAAACATTCACTCAGTTTATGGAGAGGAATGTGTGAATGAAAGAACTTGTAGAAGATGGTTTGCAAAATTCAGAGGTGGAGATTTCACCCTTGAAGATAAAGATCGAACCGGACGTCCAGTGAGTTTGATGAAAAGCTTCTTGAAGCAGCCCTTGAAGAAAATCCTGCTTTGTCAGTTGAGGAATTGGCAGTGGTTCTCAGTTCAAACCATACAACTGTTCATCGTCTGAGATAAAACTATGCTAATTCAAATGAAACGTAAACCGTCTTGTGAATGTCAACTTGAAATTTTGAAGATGGTCTCAGATGAGATTGAAAGTATTTGGGAAAATAAAAAAACTATTTGGAAGAAAATGTTAGTATTTTTCTTAATCAATTTTCTACAACCACTAAAAAAGAAATTAATTCGTTTGCTTGAAAGGATAAAATTAAAATAAATTCGCGTAATATATATATATATATATATATATATAAGAAATGGACAAAGTTCAATAATTATTTTAAGACATGTTTATGTTTATATATTCTTTTTATACATACAAACAAGTAAATCCTCTGTTTATAACAAACAGTATTAAACAACATTTTCCGGCCTGAATGTCCGACAAATTTTCACAGAAAATATTCGTCCTGCGACAGGATTCGAGCCTATATCCTATAAGCAACCGCAATTTAGCCTGACGTGCTTTTAACCGATTTGACCACGGTGGAGCGTTCGGTTAGCAAGGTCGAATATTCAAATACGATTAGCACATTGTGGCCTTGTTCGTGTTAACTGTATTCGGAAATTAAAAACATCTCTGTAACACACTAAAACATACACAGAACGCACACATTCAATTAAGTTGAAACATTGAATCATCCTTGATAATGGCTAAAGGTAAACCCGAAAACGCTGGGAAATATAAAACATCTGAACAGTTTTTACACACTCTTTGTCCAGAAAGGAAAGCTCTTATTCGAATACAAGAAAAATAAATAAAAAAGCTTAACCTTAGTACCTTGTCTGTCGTTTTTAATGAAACATGCACATATATATATATATATATATATATATATATATATATATATATATATATATATATCTTACGTATTATAAAACGCAGATTATGTGTGTGTGTGTGTGTGTGTGTGTGTGTGTGTGTAACGTTTATATATTGGATCGGATTTCCTACATTTTTCAACCGATTTCCACAAAACTTCACAGGACTACATAAAATTACCTTGTGGTGGTTGTAACAGCGCAAAAAATGGGAAAAATATAATTGTTTTTGCACAAAATCAATTTGAAAACACGATTAAGAGGCATCGTGAAAATGGAAGTGGGGGGCAACTCACTTCGGATTTCCTATATTTTTCAGCCGATAAAACAAAACTTCACTTTTTTTGGTGGGGGGGCAGGTAGTGTTTCTTATTCTCTTGCACACTTTTTTCTATAGTTTTTAACATTCAGAATGCTTTAAAAATTCTATTTGCAATACAATTATTTATAATAAAATTCTATTCAATCAGTAGACTTATAACGATTGAAAACAATGTTTTTCGTTTGAGTTTGGGTTTGACCAATTCGTAAAAAAAAAAAAAAAAAAAAAAACTAATTAGACATGCGTGTCTGTCAACCTTAAACAATAATCTAACGATCTCTACTGATTGTACGAATACAAACCTCGGATAAATTCTTTATCTTTAGGGAAAGATAATGAAATCTAAACATACACAAGTCCTAACTAAAATTAATAACCGGAACGGGAAACTACTTTAAATACATATGGTGTCCAATTTTTTTCTGTATTCAATAAGTAAAAATCATAAATTGTAAAAGATTATTATATATTACAGAGAAGGCCGGGTGATAAGTGAATAAGATTTGTTAGATCATAATTAATAAACCCATAATAAGTTAATATTTTTTGTATCAGAAACAACGAGTGGAAAATATATTCAAATCAGAATTCTAATTATGAATTAACACAAGCAAAATATGCAATTTTTTTTACTGTATTCAATAAGTAAAAATCATAAATTGTAAAACTAAAAGATTACAGAAAGGCTACCAACATTTTTCAACCGATTTCAACAAAACTTCAATTTTTTTTTGGCAGGTAGTGTTTCATATTCTCTTGCAAACTTTTTTCTTTATTTTTACATTCAGAATGTTTTAAAAATTCCATTTACAAGACAATTATTTATAATAAAATTCTATTCAATCAGTAGACTCATAACGATTGAAAACAATGTTTTTGTTTGAGTTCGGGTTTGACCAATTCGTAAAAAAAAAAAAACTAATTAAGACATGCGTGTCCGTCAACTTTAAACAATAATCTTTGTCAATTTTATTTTTCAGGCTTTATGATGGTGGATACTTGATCTATCTCTTACTGTTATATCCCCCGGGCAACGCCGGGCCTACTGCTAGTATATATATATATATATATATATATATATATATATATATATATATATATATATATATATATATATATATATGTAATTTGTGTATTTAGGCAGCAATCCTTTCATGCACATTTCTTAAAGATGACAGACAATGGGTTTGATTTAGTTATTTTTTTACAATTTCTCATGTGATCTAATAATTTGTTTTCTTTTCAAATTATATAAAAACTGTCCGAATGTTCTTTTTATCCGAACGCTTTCGGCTATACTTTTAGCCATTTTCAAGGATTAAATATTTTAACTGTCAAATAAAAAATAATTTGTTGCATGTTTATATTTTCATAGTGTTTTCATTTTTCGAAACATGGTCAACATATTGTGTCCATGATCATAATTGATATTATTAAGTGTTTTTTTTTGTTTTTTCGTTTTTTGTTTTTTTTTTTTTGCTTTTATTAACAAGGCTTCCATTATTTTTAGCCTTTTTTTGCAGGCAGATGATGCTATTATATTTGCGTTGTCACTATCTGTTTATCTATATCCGTTCATATTTAACACATACTGTTTCTATCTATCTATCTATCTATATATATATATATATATATATATATATATATATATATATATATATATATTTCTAATGATCACTCAATACAAGGACTATTCAAAATAGTGTGCTAATGTGTGGAGTTGTATTACCCCCCCTCTACAAAAAAAGAAAGGAAGTGAAGTTCTTGAGGATCTACAGGAAAGATATACATCTAATTCTAGATTCGAAGAGGTGAAGATTTAATTAGTGAATACAATTTCAGGATTTAGGCAGAGATGTTGAAGCAGCCTTTAGAACGAACCGGAAACTCAAGTTTAAACAGGAAAACACTCTACTCCTGATCAAAAGACCGGCGATGGGTATGAACTATGGTTGGCGTCGAGGATTGGGGTAGAAATTAAATATTAAAAGAATTCATAGTTCAAGTAGAGACCTCAGAAGAATAAAGCTGATGTAGACTTTAGATGGCTCCAGCAACCCAATCCTAAACAGGAAACAAAGGATAAGTCTTTACTCCTATTCAAATGACCGGAGAGATGTGTGAACCGGGTGATAAGTGAAGCTATCCATTCCATATATTTAAAATCAGTTTAGTTTTATTGATGTTTATAAAGGAATATAAATAAAATGAAGACAAAAGAGGGTCTGTTAAAAGGATCCATGAAAGCGTAGAAACAATTCGATACAGAAAACTCAAACCGTTATCCACAGAAAAGAGATGAACTAGGAAATTTACAATATAGATATTTGGCGATGTATAATCAACTTTTAAAAATAGCTTTTTCCATATTTTAATTCTTCAACTGACTAAAAAAGGTTTTTACGAAATTCTTTAAACTTTCTCACTCTCACGAGATATTCAGAAAATTCTATTTCGAACTTCCGAAAAGAATAAAAACTAAAGATGAACGATTCTAAATATGAAGCTTGCCTTTAGAGCTACGATGCTATTTGGAGTGGGGGGAATTTAATATCTGGCGGCGTTTCCAGAGAGACAAATTGCAGGATTCCATCTTCTTGCTACCGAAAACAATTATTTAAAATTCCATTCGAATGGATGAGTTCTTTCGAAATATTTTTAGAATTTTAAGGTATACCAAGTACTTATTTGGCAAGATTTAGATTTAATAGCAATCCAACCTTGCAAATAGGGAAAAATAGTGATATATATATATATATATATATATATATATATATATATATATATATATATATATATATATATATATATGTGTGTGTGTGTGTGTGAGAGAGAGAGAGAGAGAGTGAAAGAGGGAGAGAAATGGAAAGACAGTTTATGATAGTATATAAATAATTAAAAAAATAAATTTTAAATATATGAATGTGAAATATATATATATATATATATATATATATATATATATATATATATATATATATATATATATATATATGTGTGTGTGTGTGTGTGTAATAATGTATAACAATATGTACATAACTACCTATTATAATCTATATCTAATCTATCACATTCAGTCTGTTCATATCCATACATATATATATATATATATATATATGTTTTGTGTGTGTATGTTTGTATATATAGATATACATACATATCTATATATATATATGCACATATATTCATATGTATACATATAGACTCATATACAAATACATTGATCTATCACACACTACATGTATCAGTCTTTCTCTGTAATTAAATATACATATATAATTCTGTTCTTGTTTATCGATTTATCTGTCTATATATGTTCATATTCAACACATACTGTCCCTATCTAACTACACGCACACACAAACATATATATATATATATATCACAGTTTATCTCGATCAGTTCATTTTTTTATTTTTTAAACATATATGTTTAAGTATATATATATATATATATATATATATATATATATATATATATATATATATATCACTGTTTATCTCGATCTGTTCATATTTATATATATATATATATATATATATATATATATATATATATATATATATATATATACACATATATCACAGTTTATCTTGTTCTGTTCATATTTATCTCGCTATCTCAGCCTGTTCACCTCTATATAACAAATATTAAATACATCTATCTATCTATCTATCTATCTATCTATCTATCTATCTATCTACCTCATACTGTTCGTATCTATGTATCTATCTACCTATGTATCTCATTGTGCTCATACCTATTTATCTTACTATATTCTGTTTCTATCTATCTATCTATCTATCTATCTATCTATCTATCTATCTATCTATCTATCTTTTTGTCTGTCTGTTTGTTTGTCCCTCTAAATCGATTGCATTCTTTTCAAAATAATGGATTCTCAAACGAAGAATTCTTACCAAATTATTTTTCATTTTGCATTAATTTCTTTTTGAAAACTCTTCAATAAACAAATGTAAATCTCTGTCTATTGTTATTTTACTTAAGAATAAGTAAGTGTTTTCTTTGCAAGCGAGAATTAAGTCTGATAGCATCAAAGGACGTGCGGTATCTACCCTCTGTTATTATGTCGAACACAAAAGACATAATAAATATAGGTTTAGGATAAAGCCCAAAATTTGTAGGCCGGCATGCAGAATAACAAATGCCGAATTAGAAAACGATAACCCGAAGTCATGTCATTTAAATCTTTTTTTTTTACCGTTTCACATCAAGAAAGTAGATAAACCCACTAAAAATTAAATAGGTTATTGAACGGGAAAGAAACTTAGAAAATGTTGATCAAGACTATAAAATACTGGATTCAAAGCAACAAAAAGTGGCGATTGAAGCCTAATCTTTGAAAATTGTATTTGACTGCTAGGCAACAATCTGGAAGTGCGGGAAGCGCGAGTGAAGAGGCCCTTGGAATAGAACTTGCGCTTGTCCTTTTAATGAGAACTACCTGCCATGATTGTATTACACTTAAATTAACGAAGTCGAGGTGCCTGTAAGGATACAAATGGCGATTGTACCCCTTTTGTTAAGATATTCCCAAGTGTCACTTTACGGCCGGTGAAGGACATTAAAGGATATTGTCACAAAAGGTCAGTTGGGATGTAGGGCCTGGAGAAGGGGAGGTCCATAACCCACAACGTTAGATCTTATACCAAAAATAAAAAAAAACATCTGTCCTAACCAGGTTCACAGAAAAACCGCCTTAACTCTAGTTTTCCCTTCGGGAAATATTACAAATAATATCCCCTTTTTTACGCGCCGTTTCTTGTTACGTATATGTTATAATTTCTCTGCGTGGGGCACGTGTATATATCTAACTTTGTGTACGACGTAACAGTCTAAAACTGCATGTAAGAACAAAGTATGTTTATCATTTTTCCTTGCGGAGATCCCGTGAATTACTGTCTTACTATATCAATTAATAATACCCATATCGGAAGAAATACAAATAGGACAATGAATCTTTCTTCCACAGCAACCTCCCATCATATACAAAAAAAAAAAGAAAAGATCATCAGAACATTTACCATAAAGGATATGAGTTGATAATTATGTTGCAAACAAAACGGAAATGCCTGGGCAGAGGTCATTTGAAAGGGGAAACAGAGTTTTAGATAATAGGAACTCATGTCAATTTTTTTTAAAAGTCCGCTCAATTAGGATTTAGACAGACACGATGCGTTCTTAATCACTATTTACACCATTCGGACTATTGTCGCCATATTTATTAGGACGGTTCGGCCGTTGTACGCTCCGGCCTTCTTCATTTGGTTGGAATGTCGAACTGAACCCTTTATTTAGCTCGCTAGGGTAGACTGTTCTAGTTCCACGTGCATGTTTAATGGAGGTCAGTTATCTCCTGTTAATTTTCCCTCTGAAAGTTCTCCACTGCCTTAATCCGGTATTGAACTCACACTCTTTGGGTCCTGTCACTGGATCTAACTAACGCCTTTATCCACTGTGCTATGTGTCCTTGAGGATATCTGGGTATGTATTATAAACCTAATGTCTTCAGCATCATTTTTTGCCAGTGCTCATATTGCAATTTTTGTTGTTATTATCGCTCTTCTCTGGCACTCCTTATAACTGGTTTCCATATTGTATTGATTTCTATGCTTGGTCGGCTCAGGAGATTTTTGTGGCCTAGCAATAGGCGTTAAAAATAGTGCATGAGTTCAGTCAGAAGATTGATTTTTGACAGTAGTCAATGCGAACGATCCTTTCCTTAGCTGCATATTATGTGCTTCATCAGTTTTAAATTAAGAGTTTCCCTTCTCCTAGATCGGTTGCCACCCAAGGCTAGAGAACCCGGTCTGTCACATAGAAGGGACAGAAGAATTGGATTCATACCTTTCCCAAAATTATTACCACGAATGCGAATGTAATGAACTTGACTTGAATTCGAACTCGGCTCTCCGATTCCACAATGTGAGCCGCAGTCAAGTACTCTAAATTTAAGCTGTGAATATGACTAATTCTTTGTTTCTTTATTTTTATCTGATCCTCTAGTAAAATGAATACTTTTTTTTAGCTCTATTCTTTTTCAGGGATCATAGATCTCCTCAACTTCCTATACCACAATTTACAGGTGCACGTTGAAAAGTCTGGATGACCACAACTCAGCAGCTGATCTCTCCTCTGACGGAGCTCATTGAGGAAAGAGTGCCTCGTAAACTTCAACACGACCCAAACGAAACTAATAACGTTCCACCATCAGCGAGCAGACACCTATCATGATCGATAGGTCTCGTCAGACGGAGGCTACTTACCTTCAGCGTCTATTGAGACTCAAGCTCTACTCAAAACTTAAGGGGAACTCATACATTCGATGTATTTCTAACAAATCTATCTATCTATCTATCTATCTAATCCTGTTTATATCTATAAAATATTTGTTCACACATATACCAAATCCGACCAAAAAATGGGGGTCCTGCTGTTATTACTGCACTAGAGCTGCTTAGTCCTCACTTTTCCCTATCTACGCGTCTTTGTGAATAATTGTTTTCTACCCTACAGCCACCTTCCCTGAAATGAAAGTTAGTGAGCCTGTCGCTGCTCTTTCAGCACATCGTGGGCATGTGTTCTGACAAGCTTCCTTAGTCCCGCCATCCCTGATCTTTACAAGTGTGACGCACAATATCACCAACACAAAAGGGGAATCATCCCATTCTTCTTGTACTCTATTAGAAAGGAAGAAGTTCTATTCAGACAGCTTCTTGTCAAGAAACGCTGCTTTGTATATCCGACTTCCGAGATGATGTTTTTCCCAATCTCAAGAACCTTGACCTCAAGTGTAGGGTTAACCGTTTTCTTCCCTGAACTGCACTTACTGCCCTTTCTTGCGCTCATAAAACATCACACAATAACCCTCTACCTTGAGTGGCTCTCTGGTCTTGTATTGGGTGAATATCTTCCTTGCTTGTAATTGTTCAGAGTCGTCCATCTTACATAGCCTCCTTCTCTCCGTCTTTCAACTACTCACACAGGATCCTCTGCTTTCCCCTGCCACTGTTACTATCGTTATGTTCCTTGAGTGTGAAATTCTCCAAACCCTTTTTCTCGTTGCCTTTTCTTATCTCCCTTGTCTTCAATACGCTCTGTGCGTGTGTTATGGAACCTTACCCATAATAACATAATGGACTATTCCATACGTAATAAATACTGCGCCTCAAGAGGAAGCAGGGAGTTCAGTCTGAAGTCGGGCGACCGGCTGATCGGCTGATTGGTTGAACTCTCTGCCTTCGGACGGGGAGGAACCCGAACGAGGCTACGCGGAAGGGCGGAGTCTCTTTCGGGGAGGTAAAAAGACCCTAAACCCGTTTATATGGGTTCAAAGGGCATATTTTTGGCCAAGCCCACTGGCAGAGATCCCACGTTAAACCGGCCTTGTGTCACATCATGCCGTCGTGGGGGGTGACTAAATACTGTTCAGTCTGAAGTCTGGTATGATGTCCGTCAGAAGTCTGTCAGTCAGAGCGAGTCAGTCAGTCAGTCGAGTCAGAGGCAGTCGGAAACAGAGTCGCGTTCAGACAATTACTACTAAACCTGATTGTTCGTACTAACACTTTCTACTTCTCTGTATATATTCCTGTTTGTAATATATCTGTATTATTCCATATACGTGTTCGAGTTCGTCTTTATTGGTTCTACCTTGGACTATCACCGTGGTGTACAAGGAACCGGGCCATAACAGAGCGTTAAGTTTTTCAACAGCTCCTTCTGAATTTATTCAAGAAAATTGCAGCTATCGCCTCCTGATTCTGAGTAACCATTTTGTCTTGTCATTTTGTTTAATGCCAATAGAATTCTCAGTATCCTTCTGTAGAATCACATTTTTGTTGCTTCCGGTGTTCTCTTCATTTTGCTTTTGGGATTTTGAATAATCACTTTTTTTCATTAGTACTTAGTTTATGGAAAAATACTTTGTTTTTTTTTTCGAATATACAACTTATAGAAAGGTTTTCAAAGATAATGAAATTTTGCATGAATTTTTTTTATTTATTTTGAAAATTAATCGCAGTAATGAATTTAGACATGATACAGTATTTTAGTATATTGAAATTAAAATGATACAGTATTTTAGTATATTGAAACTAAAATGATACAGTATTTTAGTATTTTAGACTAAAAACCAAATTTATTCTTTTATGTTTTCAATTCCAGCAAAAAGGTGGATATAATATCGACCTGGCAAAATATAAATAGTTTAAACCTTTACGACAGAAAAAGGCAGAAAAATGTCCAAAAAATTAAAAATTAAAATAATTATCCGCACTTTCAGAAATAAATAACAGTCAGTTTTAATTTTTTTTTTAAATTTTCCCCGTATTTGGTTCACATGATTTAATAATTTAGTAAATATTTATACATTTATTTATTTGAATTTGTTTTCATATTTATCTTTTTATAAATTGGCAAGTGATAAATATTTCATTGCATTATTTCTAATTGTATTAGATTTTAGAATGTTGTAAATATAAAATTATATTTTTTAGATTTCTTTTTATAGCACCAGCACGAATGGTTTTTGGACAGACATCGCATCTATGATCTATAATCTAAATTTGATAATTTAAACTAAACAATTTACAGATAATGTGGACCCTAAAATAAGCCTCCATCTCTTCGTCTTTCATCTACTCCCACAAGATTGTCAGGTAGCTGATCCTCTGCCTTCCCCTGCCGCTATTGCCATCGTTATGTCCCTTGAGTTTGAAAGTCTCCAAACCCTCTTGCCTTTTCTTATCTCTCTTGTCTTCGTTACGCTCTGTGAGTGTTAAGCTTTCCAACAGCTCTTTCTGAATTTCTCCAAGAAAATTTCAATCTAATAAATAGGGTTTAATATTTTTTTGTTATAAATTCTCGAAAAAACTGTATAAGTTAACTTTCATCATGTATTTAGGTTTTATTGCAATTCTATTGATCGCCTTTTAAAACAATAAACATAGC